ACGAGGTCGACTCCGCCCAAGCGAGGACGGGGCCAAACCCAACTCCCGTTGACACTCCCCTGCCGCGTTCACACTTGGGCCCCCAGCCTACTCGGTAGCACCGCTCGGAGTATAGCTCGGCGGCGTGCACACAACACACAGCACGCCGGACACCGCACCAGCCATGCGAGACGTCATAGCACCTACTGATGCACCCAGATCTAATCAGAGTAATAGATTTTTATCCCTGGTTTTGAGTAAAGTGTCACAGACTATCCTATTAGTGGACCCTGACTTAACAGAGCATCGATTCTGTAGTCCTCAGATTTGACCTTATCGAGAGGAAGTTTTGTTCAAAAAATTCCTTCCAATAACCCCATCTTCGGATTGTTGGCAGTACAGACAGCCCGTGAGTGACCGCGGATAAGACATTATCGGAACAAAGTTTCTTCAAATTTTACACTCACCTTCGAGATTGTACTGCGAGTTTCCGGGAAACATTGTGAGTATACCCGTGTGCGTAGCACCCCGCTTTATCGAGAAGAAGTTTCTTGGAACTTCTTTTCCTATACCCCACCATCGAGGTTCAGTTTGATAATGCACAGCACATTACTACTCTGATCCTGATTTCTCAACCCTGAACAATCAGACTAAATAACTTCCCAACACAAAGCACTGGTCACGAATTTCTGGAAAATATGCACCCGTAATAAAGGGGGAAAATTTTCCCCGGATTTAGGGAGGCCTAATTTGAAACCTCAGCCCCGCTGTCTGCGTCGCTTCGAGTCATTTCTGGCTCTTCGTCTCCAACTCAAATATTGTGTGCTTCATTTGATGCTCTCAGGAGTGCACATTGTCATACCCAGGGCTGAATTTATCAGGGTAATTACCTTGATTTCAGGGTGATTTCAGGCTATCCACTTTGCGGAGATTGAGATTTCAGAATTTCTGAGTTGTCAACCCTGTTCAAATCAGAGTAATAGTTTTCTTATCCCTGATTTTGAGTATAGTGTAACAGACTAGCCTGTTACTGGACCCTGGCTCAATAGGGTATCGAATCTGTGGTCCCTGATTTTGACCTTATCGAGAGGAAGTTTTTCGGAAATTTCCTTTCGATATCCCCCTTCGACTTGAAGATCCCAGCGGAATTCGGTCGACAAAGCCGAATTGCCTGGGTCGACGAGGGGGGTCGACGGATAGGGGTCTGACGAGGCGGGCAACTGACGCGCGTGCGGGCCCGCCAGCCTGGCCCAGGGCTGGGCCGAGCGCACGACCGCCGCCCCGCAAACCCCCCCCGAAAGTGAACAGCAACCCACGTTACCGGGTGGGGGCGGCGAGCTGGCGAGACCTCGCGCGAAGGAAGGTAACCCTAGCGCGAAGGCAGCCCACCCGTCCCTCCTGCCCGCGAGGTCCTAGTAACCCATCGCGGCCTGCCCGTACGGGCAGGCGAGGCCCGTGCGAAATTTTATCGGGGGCTCCCCTCGGGACGCTCGACAATTTCGCGACTTGTTGCGGTGACGCCACGTGCTCGCCCGTCATTTCGCATCGTATGCATGCGACATTTCGTACCCGCCGAAAAACATTGAGCGAAAATTGGGTCGCTCGCACCGGGGCACACGGTTTTCACGACCCGCTACGAAATCGACACGTGGTGCCGAAACGTCGCACCGCGTGCATGCGAATTTGCGTCCCCTGGCCGACCGAGGCCAGGGGACGTGACGTCGACCTGCTGGCTCGGCGGCGAGGGTGCACTTGTGCCACGCCACTTGTGCATGAGCCCCCCCGAGCCAGGCACCACGGCCCCCTGGGCGACGCTGAACCGGGCCTGCGTGGCTCCGCCTGGCTTTTCTTTGTTGGTGGTGGACTGGCCCTTCATTTTCGCGTTCTCGTTTCTCTTTCATATTTTCTCTCAGCTCTGCGCCTTCCATACTCCCACCGTTTCTTCCCTTAGCCCGTAGCATAGCATCCTCGCTCTCCCGCCATGGCGGCCGACCAGAAAGCCGACGAAGCGACGCCGACCTCGCTAGACTTCCCCCTGCATCTAAACGTCGGTAGAGGACTCATTCCCAAGTTCGAGGAGCACGACTACGCCGTTCTGACAAACCCTATGCTAGAGTTTAACGCCCGTTGCTTGGGACTCGGCCTCAAGTGAGTGTCTTATGGGGATGTCGGCGTCGACGGGCCTATTCCATTCTGGTTGGGCCCTCGCGGGGTTGCAATGCGACCAGTAGTTTATGTCGACGGGCTTAGGGTTCAGGTAGATCACATCGGTGACGCCGACGTAATGCGTTAGGTCGGCGTCGACGCTGCTTTGTGCCGAAGTCGTTCGGCTATCTTCATTCCACCGTCGTGTCGCGCACCTCTACCTCTCTAACTTCTTGTAACCATGCATGCGTGCAGGCACGCATGGATCCGCTCAACAGATGCAGACGAGCGATTGTGGTCGATAGGAGTCGGCCGGCTTCGGCGGCGATGGGTCAAGACGACCACACATGCTTTGCGACGGTTTTCGACGCCGACGGGCGGTTATCCCACTGTTATTGAGGTGAGCAGGTTCGAGGTCGTCCTGGTGTGTGCTGCAACCTGTGTCGGTGATCTGTTCTGGGCGCCTTCGACGTGCCTTGTCTGTGCAGCATCGCACCGCTTCCGGGAACACATTGCAGCGTCGTTCTCATCCTGTGCCCCGGTGATTTGTTCATTGCCTCGGGGCAGGAGGTCAGGACCTCGATCCGGCACGCCGACCCACAGACAGTGAAGGAGTGGCACCGCGACGAGGCGATCCGCGTGCTGAAGTGAGCTCGATAGTGTAGTCGACGTCTTTGCCGTGCTTATGCAGTTTTTTTCGAACCGCTGTTCTGGCCGAGCTGCGGCACGGGGGTAGGAAATGGAAGTGGGCGAAGCCGTCTGAAGAAGAGGTGCAGGCGAGGCTCGCCGACTGCGACGAACCCCTTCGAGATGTGAGTTCCGAACGATTCGCCGACATATGGTGTCACATCTATGCGCGATGTGACTGCCGGACGCCGTGCTAATCATTACGCTCTGCACTGTTGTATGCAGAAAGTTCCCAATACCGTCCGGGACGGGGACGCGGCCTGCTAGCAATGAGCGCGGTGATCTGGGTTGTGAGGCGGTTCGATCTCCTGACCAGCGCCCTCCGTCGCATTGCCACCAGCATGGACAGGGCCACCGCTTCGGGCTTGAAGGCGCTGCGGAATGAGATGGTAGCATACATCAAGAAGCAAGTCCCGCTCATACGGTCGGGCCAAATCGGAGTTGCTGCCGACGCCTGTGACGACGACGGCAAGGAAGTCCATTCTGCATCCGTAGCAGTAGGGGTCGCCCCCAACATCGCTGATGCGCGTGGCAAGTCGGTAGTCGGCGTCGAGGAGGCCGATGCGGCCGCAGGAAAGGGGGTGACCGTGACTGAGGAGAAGCACCAGGACGAGGTTGATCACGGGGATGATGATGGGATCCAGTATCGTGAGGAGGAACGTGAGATTGAGGGGGGCTCGGAGGAGTCGGTGTCGGAGTCGGAGTCGGAGTCGGAGTCGGTGTCGGAGGAGCAGGAGCAGGAGACGCAGGAGCACGAGAGGCAGCACTAGGAGGAGCAGCAAGAGGGGGAGCAGGTGGTAGAGGTGGAGGACGTGGAACTGGCAGAGGGGTACGTTGCAGTTAGAGCGGCGGAAACGGGTGGGAGATCGGCGGAAACCTGTCGAGAATGACGAAGGGGAGGGGAATGGTGCGACAGCGGATCTCGGCGAGGTCGGCGTGGAGGCGGCTCACGGGGGGAGTGGGATGGTCGAGATCGGTGAAGGGGATAAAGCCGCGGCCCCGAAGCAGAAGGGCGTGGAAGTGCCTACCTATGCTGCCGCAGAGAAGGCCGGGGTTGAGCGGTCTAGGAAGAAGATGTCGGCGAGCGGTCATCCCGGTTCCACCGCAGCTGGGCGGCAGGCGCGGCTGGACGTCGTCGAGCAGCTGAGAGCGGAGAACATGCGATTGCGTGCCGACAATGCACGCCTTGAACGGCAGCTCGGTGAGCAGACGGGGCGGGTCGACAGCTTGGCGGCGGCCGTCGCTGGGCTCCTTGACAAGCTGAAGGGTTTGACCGCCCAGGTCGCCGACACCGACCGGAAATCTGAGGAGCGCCTCAAAGAGGCGACGTCGACCATGGCAACCACAATCACCGAGGGACTCACCAGCAACATGGAGAGCACAATTCAATCGGCCAAGTCCTTTGCCAAGCTAGCGAGGCAGATGCTGCTGGATCTCGACGACCCCAAGGGACGAATGGCGGTTGAACGCGCGGCTGCGGTGGACACTTTGGTCGAGCACGTGACGGCTGAGGTGGGTGAGGCGAGGAAGGGGTTGGAGGAGACGGTCATTAAATACATCGGCGCCGCGCAGACCGACATCGCCTCCGCCGTCGCTCCCCGCCTCGTCGTGCAGCAGCCGCCGCCGATCGCCCCAGCGCAGGCCTTGCCGGTAGAGTTCCTCAATTCCCTTAAGGCGGATGTGCTGAAGTCGGTAACGGAGGCCACGCAGCAGTCCTTCCTCGCCTCCGGATTGAAGATAATGACCGAGGTGGTCGGCACGGTGGCGACTGCTCGGCGTGGGTCTTCGCCGTCGGCAAACGACGCCGGCCAGAAGCAGGGTCAGAAGAGGGGGGGAGGCGGCGGGGGGGGCGACGGAGACGATTCGGCGAACGTGAAGCGGGGCAAGGGAGCCGGGGGGTCTCGCGTCGCCGGCGACGGGAGCAAGGGAGCCGGAGAGGGAGGCGGCGGGGGGGGGGGAGACGGAGACGTTTCGGCGAGCGTGAGGCGGGGCAAGGGAGCGGGGGGTTCTCGCGTCGCAGGCGACAGGAGCAAGGGAACCGGAGAGGGAGGCGGCGGGGGGGAGACGGAGACGATTTGGCGAGCGTGAGGCGGGGCAAGGGAGCGGGGGTTTCTCGCGTCGCTGGCGACGGGAGCAAGGGAGCCGGTGAAGGCAGTTCGGGGAAGCAGTCGGGGAAGAGCGTGCTCGACATGCTCAAGAAGCACTGGGCTACGGTTGCACCGCCCAGCACGGGCCAAGGTGGTGGGGGTCCCGCCGATAAGCATGCCGCTGATGACGCACGGCCAAGGGCTCCGCCTTCGGTCGCCGATAAGCCACCTCGTCAGGGTAGCGGAGAGAAAGGGAAGAGCGACAAGGCGGCTGCCCAAACGGCCACAGGTGGGTCCGCGAAAACTGGCCAGGGCCCGAAGGCCGGGGTCGCGGAGGCGTCAGCGGTTCCTCACCAGCCTCCCGCGGGTGCACGCCCTCCGACCGGACCGTCTGCCGGGCGACCTGCCGACGTCCCGCGCTCTGCCGACGTCCCGGCTGCCGACAAGGCTGGCCGCGCGCGGAAAGTGGCGGCGGTTGCGAACGCGCTCAAGGAGCAGCTCAGGCTCCTTGCCTGCAACAAGGCTGTTCAACGGCCTCTCCCCGCTGTCGACGTCCCCTCGGCGAGTGTGCCACGGGTAGTGCCGGCCGTCGCCGCCCGTACTCCTGCTGACCCAAAATCAGCGCTGCTGCGCGCCCAGCTGGGCGCACTAGCGTCGACTGCGCCAACTCAGCATGCATCTGGCTCTGGCGCTAAGCCGTCGTCGGCGAATGTGGCACCACCCACCCCTGTGGCAGCTGAGGTTGAGAAAGCGGCGGAGAAGGGCGTTCGTGCTGCGCTTGCCACCGGCGGCGGCCCCATTGAGGAGGTCCCCCCCGACGCGGATATCTCTGCCATACAGGCCCATCTGGATGCAGCCAATGCCCGAACACTGGCCATCTCCGACACGGCACATGTGGAGCCTTCGGCGGGTCTCGTCGGCAGTCCAGCAGAGCCTAGTGCGACCGGTGATGCTGTCGGCGATGGAAAGGCGAAACGGAAGGGGAAGGCGGGCTCACAGAGGAAGACGCGGGAGAAGTCGGATGTTAAGGCGGCGGATAGAGGGAAGGGGAAGGCGGCTGAGACGGCGGCGGACAAAGATGGAGGCGGCAATACGGGGGTGAAAGGGAAAGCGGGGGAGAATCAGAAGTCGCTCGGCGAGGGTACGTCGACGGGTAGGAAAGGGAAGGACAAGTTGGTCGGAGAAGGAAGGTCGAAGGGGAGAAAGGAAAAGAGGAAGGCGGAGGAGGAGGATGACAAGGAGGAGGAGGCGGAGGTAGAGGAGGTGGAGGAGGAAGAGGAGGGGGGGGAGGAGGAGGAGGAGGAGGATGAGGAGGAGGAGGAGGAGGAGGAGGAGGAGGAGGAGGAGGAGGAGGAGGAGGAGGAGGAGGAGGAGGAGGAAGGGCAAGGAGAGGAGGGGTCATGGCATCCGACACGACAACTCGGGCGACGGTCAAGTGTGGGTTGGCGAGATTAAGGTGCATGGCATCAATCGATACATCGCCAAGTCGCGAGAGAAGATGGAGCTCGCGTACGTGCACTCCATTGCGTACGTCGTCTACGACGGTTTCGTGAGCAAGGTGCTCATGAACGAGCTCACCGCCTTGGACAGCGCCGAATTGGAGAGGTGGAAGGAGGTGTGGGAGGAGGTCAGGATCTTGCCGACCGGGATGTGGACGGTGATGTGGGCCCGGGGAACGCTCCTTCCAAAGACACGGTAAGTCGGCAATCCCCCTGCCCAAAGGCGACGCAAGGTGACGATGTCGTTGTCGTGGTCACCAATGTTCGCCCTGTTTGTTGTGCTGGCGTGACAGGCTGACTAAGATCCTCGACAAGTATCGCCATTTCAAGTTCACAGGCGATGGTCTGCACGCCACGCTCCTGCCAGCCATATGGTACCCAGTCAATCCCAACACCGAGGAAGGCCGGGAGAAGTCGGCGTCCATGATGTCGGCAATGATAGGTCGCGTGTCAATGTGCGCTGCGTACGGGAAGACCGCCGCGACAGCGGCGAAGAAGGAGGGAGACAAGGACGAGAAGACGGATATGGCGGCATGGGCGTTAGGAGCATCCGCATGCGCTGTGTGGTGCTTCGTCGAGAACGGCGATGCCCAGCTGGCGGATGCTGTGGAAGAAGGGAAGGCGGCGGCGCTTGTGTTCGGGGCGAGCCAGGCGACGAGTCATGGAGGCGGTGCTGTACGCCGAGATCAACAGGGACCGCCCCCTGGGAGAGGTTGCTTACAACGTCGCGCCAGCACTCAAGAGGACCGCCCTTGATAGGGTCTATCCGGGGGGAAATGCTGGAGTCGATGCCGACGTGATCGCTAGAGCGACGGTCGAGACGATGGCGTTCTGGGGAATGTGCCCCGTCGCCGGGCCGAAACTCAAAGCGAGGGGCATCGCGGTGCCGATTGACGCGCAGATGAAGGCCGATCTTGACAACAGGGGGAGGAAGGGTCAGAGGGGCAAGAAGGGGACGAAGGCCAAGGGCTGCACGGGAAAGAAGGGGACGAATGCCAAGGACAGCTCGGGGAAGAAGGGCCAGAAGGCGAAGACGGCCAAGGACAGCACGGCGGAGTAGTTGGGGAGGGGCATATGTAGCGCTAGGTCGACGGCTTGCTAGGAATCAGTGTTGCTTGGATTCGATGCTGCTATGGTCGATATCGTTTTGTATGTTTTGGCTGTCGGATCCCTTTGATGCTCGTTTTTTGTGTTTCCTTGTGTGAGTGCCTGTCGACTTTACGTAGGATGTGTAATGAACAATTCAACCAGTAGCTTGTCGACTTTACGAAGGATGTGATTGACTACTTGTGTTAGAACGACACGTGGTTAAGAACCACAGGATCATTGTGAGAAACACAAAGTCGACAACTATATCAGTATGAAACATATGCATGCTGCATCAACAACATCTACAACATGCAACAGCCCACAATCGCATGTTGCTTGTGAGCATTCACGCGGTCTTCTTGCGCTTGGTCGACTTCTTGGTCGGAGGCAGTTGCCCGGCGTCGTTTTCGCGGGCCAGGTCGGCCAACGCCTTCTTCATCTGCTCCTCCCAGGTGTCCGGGAACAGGTCGGCGACCCACTTTTCCGGCTTGAACCCGCGGCCACCAACGCGAAGGCGACACGAAGCTTGGAAACTTCCGTCTTGCCGAACCCCTTGACGCCCTTACCCTGCCCGGCATAGGTCGGAACGTTGCCCGCGTTGAGCACCGTGAGGGCATCCGAGAAGGTCCCAATGCCAGGCGCCGCTATCGTGCTAAGCGTATCGACGACGGCTTCCGTGTCGGCTTTGCCGTCGCTCCTGCGAAGCTGGCGCACCGTATCGATGACCTTCATCATTCAGCACACCCTCGTCCCGTGTGCTCCCTGCGAGGCTCCGTCGAGGAGGGTGTGGCGGTCGACGAATCCCAGCTCGGTGAACCTGTCGCACAGACAACAGGTGTCGGCGCTGGTGCACGAGGTCCAGAGGCGCCACGCGTCCCTCACGGTCGTTGCAGTCTGCCAAGGCTGCATAACGTTCAGCTCGTAGCTAGCCTCCTCGACCGTCTGTGGGGGTTTTTTGGGTTTCTTGGCTCCGTCACCCCTGCTTGCCGACTCCGCGGAGCCACCGTCGCTCGGCGACTGATCGTTCGCAACTGGCGGCGCCTCCGGCATCCTACGAGCTTCTGAAACGCGGAGAGCCTCGGTGAGGCGGGTTATCTCGGCCGTGAGCGACGCGATGGTTGCGTCGCGCTTCTCGATCTTCTCCTCGAGGTCGATCTTCTCGACCGCTGACCGCTCCCTCTCGAGCTTCAGCGTCGTTGTGAGGGAGACGACCGCGTACTGGGCGTCATGGCGGACCGATATCTCCTGTAATGGTAGGCGAATAACGGTGCAGGTGAGGGGTTGTAGCGGTCACAGCGCACACAGCGACGTCGACATAAAGGATGACTTACCACTGGCTGGATGAGGGTTGGGTCTTGCCGCTTTTTGATGGTCTCGGTGTCGGTCTTCTCCACCCTCTTCGCCCAGTGCTGGAAGAGGGGAATCCGGCAGAGCTTGGAATACTGGACGTACGGGTGCCAAGGCGTGCGGACGAGTTTCACAGCGAGGTCCTCGGCGACAATGCGGCGGAACATCAGGAGGGTGCGCCAGAAATGCACGGCCGCAATGTCGGCGTCGGACCTCTTCTTCGTGAGTTTTTCCGCCTACAATCAGACAACAGACCTGGGTAATTACCGTGGTGAATAGGACAGTACCATGCGAAGCTTGGTCGGAACCGAGAAACATACCTTCTTAAGGAGGTCGTCGACGCCGGGGAAGATGTGCTCGGCGATGAGAGCGAGAAGTTCGTCTCCCGGTTCCACCCTGCTGCGACCCAAGAAGCAGTCCTGCGTGTAACCCGAATAGCTGGCCTTCTTCATCACCACGCCGACGGGAATGACGGTGATGTAGGCTCGAGTCATCTTGTCGAGAGCCCAGTGACCCAGCTCGGCTATCTCGGCGCGAGGCGTACCGTTGATGGCCAGCTCCTGCGCCCCGCCTGCCCGAGCGGCATGGACGTTCCGCTTGCAGAACACCCCGTTCGTCTTCCACATCTGCCTCGTCCATCGCTGGTGGCTGGGAGCTGGGAGTTCGTGCTGCTCGGGGTCGTTGCGGGCGAAGAACAGGTGCTTCTTGTACCAGCGCTCGCGTGTGCTGGTGTCGACCGGCGGAATGAGGTCGACGCCGTGAAACTGGCCGATCTGGTCGAGGATGAAGTGTAGCCACAGTCCGGTCTCGCCGACGGCGCACAATTCCGCTTCGAGGTGCCGCGCCGCGTAGCTCTGCTGCAGACGCGCATCCTTTAACGTCTTCGAGTTCCGCGCGGCGACCACCATGACGACCGGCTGGTTCTCAGGGTTCACCGGCAAGGTGCTCGCCAGTCGGTACAAGAAGATGTCGGGGAGCGTGATCTCGCGGATGCTTGCACCGCGCATGAGGCTGTGGTGGGAGAGCAGCGTGAGCACCTTGACGAGAAGAAACCTCCACAGCGTCTGCGAAGGAGTGTTGAACCGCGGGCTCCATGCCGACGCCGCCCAAGCCGGCAGCACCCTCGTCATGATCTGGCGGAACTGTTCGGCGGTGTATGTGTCGCCGATGGTGCCGCGTCGACGGTCGGCGCAATTACTGTCGACAGAACAATAAAGGGATAAGATTATTAGTGCCAGGAGCACAAATCGATGGTGACATAACACAGCGCTGTATGCCAGCTTACTTGATGTCCCTCTGATTTTTTGTGCGGACCATGACCCGCACCTCCGACCGGACAACCGAGATTTCCCGCATGATGCCCAACTCCTTCTCCTTGTAGAGCGTTGCCTCCACCCTTGCCGCCATCTGGCAGTTCTTGATGCGGCCGAGGATCATGTGCACCGTGTAGGCCTGCACTGGAGCGTTCGTCTCGGCGTCGATTTTGAACTCCCGCCTCATGAACTTGATGCAGGCGCGCAGCCGCGTCACAGTGACCCGAGGGCCGTACAGCCATATGTGCTTCCGTTTGACGACCTTCGGATTGTCCCAGTCCTTGTTCTTGTTGCAGTGGATCCAGTGCCCGATCTCGTCGACGTGCCTAGTTCGTTCCCCGATCGGCAGCTTGTCGCCTATCTCTTTGAGCATCTTCGCGGCCCACCTCTTGTAGTGGTAAATCCATAACGTGTAGGACTGGAGCGTGCTCTTTCCCTCGATGGTTTTCAGGTGGCGCAATGCCTCCATCACGAGCACGTCGACGCACGCGTACACCATATCTTCCTCTACGAAGTCGGCCGCCTTCCACTGTTCTCGAGGGACCGACGTGTTCAGCTGATCCTCAAGCTCGTCCTCGTCCAGAAGTTCCTCAATGAATGCACGTTCCCCCCTGAGCTTTTCTTCCAACGTGCGCGGACCTGTGCCGCATCGGGGCCGTGGGTCGTCTTCGTCGTCTTCGTCTGTGAGGATCTAGGATCGAGCTCAGAAAAGTGAGTTGAATTGAATTATCACCTGGGTACAACACGAGGCTATATATAGGCTCGACACAAGGCAGGTAACCCAGGTGTTACGCGAATGTTCCGAGGGTCGCGAAGCGTCCCGAACAGAACCTTCCCGAACTCGGTAGAAAGCAATTCGGTGGCAACCGAATAGCTTGAGTTCGGTACACGTAACCTGGTTCGGTGCCTATAACTATAATAACTATAGTAAAGCAACGAACCTAAGGAATCAAGCAATTCATGCATGCAGAAAATAAACCTAAGCTAGGAATAGCGTAAGGAAATAATAGCAAGCATGAATAACAAGCATAAGCCGTCGTACTCTCACACGTTCCCCTTTCAAAGCTGGGTGGCGTGAGATACACCCTGCTTGACAAGATAGTCCTTGAGAGCATGGCGTGCGTTGCCCATATCAGCTTCTGCAACCCAACTGTCCTCAGTGGGGTCATATCCCTTCCAGCGGATCAGGAACTCGAGGGTCTTGCCGCCGCGGCGCCGATGAGTGAGAACGCGCTCGATCTCGTACTCGGGTTCATCCTGCACAAGAACAGGTGGTGGTGGCGGTAGCTGCCGTCCCTGGAACTGTTGGTTGGGGTCCTTGTAGGGTTTCAGTAGCTGAACATGGAAAGCGTTGTGAAGCTTCCACGTATCTGGTAAGCGCAAGCGGAATGTAACTGGTGTCACCTGTGCCTCCACGAGAAATGGACCACAGAAGCGAGGCCAGAGTTTGGATGGTAGGTGAGACAGGTTCAAGTTGCGCGTGTCAAGAAGCACCTGATCTCCGACTGCTACTGAGTGATCTCGTCGCTGACGATCGGCATACTGCTTCTGGGAGTTCTGCATCGTGGTGAGACGCCGCTGAGTCTTCTCCCATAGCTGCTGCATGGTGGTGACAAAGTCGTGTGCGGCTTGGACGTGTGCTGGTGTGGTTGGCTGCTGTGGTGTGAGTGGTTCCCGTCCGTAACACAGGAAGAAAGGGGTTTTTCCTGTGGCCGCATGCGAGGCGTTGTTGTAAGCGAACTCTAAGGTCGGTAACTGTGTGTCCCAGTGGCTGATGTCGTCTTTGCAAGCTGTGCGCAGTAACTGTTCAACCACCTGATTGAGTCGCTCTGTCTGTCCGTCAGTCTGGGGGTGGTATGCTGAAGGTATCGCAAGCTTAGTCCCCAATAGTCCCATAAGCTCCTTCCAGAACTTACTCGTGAATTTTGGGTCTCTGTCTGAGATGAGTGTAGCGGGGATGCCGTGGATGGTGATGATGCGGTTGAAGAAGAGGCGAGCAGTTGCTTCAGCTGTAGCTGTGGCGTTGGTCGGTATGAAGTGACCCATTTTGGAGAACTTATCGATGACTACGAGGATGGAATCGTGTCCCCGTGAGGTCGAGGGAAGTCCTGTGATGAAGTCGAGACTAACGACCTGCCATGGCTGCTCCGGTACGGGTAGAGGCTGAAGTAACCCTGCTTTCTTCTGCTTGCTACTCTTCATCCGCTGGCACGTGTCGCAGGAGGTGACGAACTGCTGCACGTCTGCTGCCATCCAGGGCCAGTAGTAATACTTTGCTATTCCCGCTAACGTCTTGTTGCTCCCGAAATGT